CTGGGACATTATTGGCTCACTTCACAGCATTCTCCCTGCAGCGGTGGCTGTCATAAAGGAGCCACTTCCCACGAACAGGCTCCTATATCAGCATGTTTCTGCTGGCGGATGGAGGGGAGGTCTCAGGATGCTGGGCTGACAGAGTCAGAAACAGGTTGATGACAGAGGAACGGGCGGGATGACACAAGTGCAGCTGGCTGAGAGGGTGCCAGTCAAAGTCCAGTTCACGACCTGAGCCATCCAAAGACTGGTGGATGAGGTACTCGGTCCTGATGCCTCAGATATGCAGCGGGCTTCCGGACAAACTGACCCAAATATCCGGAACTCAACATTAGCCCCATGCAACAGACCCTCCCCAAGGATGCACTCCACAGTCCGAGTCATCTCAGGAAATCCTCCCCATGCCCCTTTGAACAGTATGGAGGCATTTCATGTATGGGCAGCTACCACACATTCTCCAGTTGCCCAGCTTCACCCAATGCAAAGTACACTTAGGTGTGATATTTTGCCTTCTGATGGCAGAAAAATCACCAGTGGAGGGCCCTCTACAAATAGGTTCACCCCTTTTCCATCAGGAATCTGGGGTGGAGAGTGCTGCATGTGGCAGTCCTGTGCAATCATGGATTGAGTAAGTTCATAAATTCAGTAGGTGCCAGGCCACATGTAGTTATTGCAGCCTAAAGGAAATGGTTTATCATGTATACATCGAATGTTTCTGTTTGCAGTCCCTTTTAGATTTTTTTTGAAGGAGCTGCTTCTTAAATTTTGGTTGCACTTCAGTCCCACACTCCTGATCAATGGGCACGCAGCACAGTGAAGAGCAGACAACTGTTCTTGTGGGTCTGCTCTTGGACCTGGGAAAGTGGCCATCAACAGATCCAGGTAGTGAGACGCCGAGGGACTCATTATTCCTGACTATCTGTCCCTCCTTCATGGTGATGTCTGCATTTGGGTGTCACAAGAGCGCAAGTGAGAGAGACAGACAGACAGAGAGCTCACAATACTCACAGACACAGCAGATGCCTTAAGAGTCTGGTGGGCACTGCAGAGGCTGGAGTGCATCACCAGCCCAGACAATATTATTTTAATTTAATAAGTTTCTGTTTAATTATACAAGTTTTCTTTCAAATGTTAATTTGTGGTTTATTTTGATACAGTGCCCCAGCAGAGGCTATTTCATTATTATTTGACTTCCTGTTTTAAAGAGAGTCAAGGGAGCTTTATTCTGTATCCAACACCACATTGTACCTGTCCTGTGAGTATTTGATGGGGATAATGTTGATGGAGCTTTACTTTCAGTTCAAAGGCAGTTTTACTTTCATGTTAAAGGAGTAGGGAGATCATTACTCTGCATCTAACCCTGTGCTGTATACTGGTCCTGAGACTGTTTGATACACAGTGTTGTGGGACCTTTATTTTCTGTTTGAAAGCATCAAAAAAAAAAAAAAGCTTTACTCTCTATCTAATTCTATGCTGTCAGAGTCACACACAGAATCACACAATCAGACCCTTCAGTCCAACTCATCCATGCCAACCAGGTTTCCCAAACTAAACGAGTCCTATTTTGCCTGCATTTGGCCTATATCCCTCCGAACCTTTCCTATTCATGTACTTATCAAAATGTCTTGTAAAATGTTGTACTTGTGCCCACATCCGCCACGTTCTCAGGAAGTTCATTCCACATGCAAATCACCCGTGTTAAAAAAAAATTTACCCCTCATGTCTTTTTTTTAAAATCTCGTTCCTCTCAACTTAAAAATCTGCTCCCTAGTCTTGATATCCCCCATCTGGGGAAAAGACAATCACCATTAACTCTATCAAAACCCCTCGTTATTTTACATAATTCCAACAGGTTGCCTCTCAACTTCTGTAGTCTAGCGAAAAAAAAAGGTCCCAGCCTATTCAGCCTTTCTCTAACTCAAACCCGGCAACATCCTGGTAAATCTCTTCTGAACCCTCTCCATCTTGATAATATCATTCCTATAACTGGGCAACCAGAAGTGGACACAGTATTCCAGAAGAGGCCTCACAAATGTTCTGTACAACCTCAACGAGACTCCCCAACACCAATGCTTAAAAGGACTGAGCAACGAAGGCAAGCATGCCAAACTGTTCAGGATTTCTGGTCAATCCACGGCAAATGGGCACCTGCTGGATGAGCTCTGGTACTCCATGTGGAGTACCACTCACCTTCTCTACCTGGGAGTCTATCTTTGCCCTGCTGAGAAATCTTGGCCAGCAAATTGGCAAGAGTTGGAAATCAAGATGACTACTCACCTAGGCTGCTGGACGACTTTGCTCAGTTGTCTTACAGGGTACAATTGCTGGTCATAAACCAGATGGTGGCTGCCATGTTGTGGTACTGACTGGTCATTTTGATCTGTCCCCTGGGATTTGTCCAGAAAAACATCCAGAAAAATTCACAGAAGGCTGGGGATCAACCACAACGTGACTTCCCAACTCCTATACTCAAAGGTCTGAATGATGAAGGCAAGCGTGCCAAACGCCTTTTTAAGCACCTTGTCTACATGTGACGCAAACTTCAAAGAATTATGTACCTGAACCCCTAGGTAGCTCTGTTCTAAAACACTACCCAAGGGCCTACCATTAATTGTATAAGCTCTACCCTTGTTTGTTGTACCAAAATGCAATACCTTCATTTATCCAGATTGAACGCCATCTGCCATTTTTCAGCCCATTAACCGATTTGATCAAGATCCCTTTGTAATCTTAGAAAACCTTCTTCACCGTCTACGGTGTCACCAATTATGGTGTTGTCTGAAAATTACTAACCATGCTTTCTATATTCTCATCCAAATCATTTATATAAATGACCCCTGTGATTGTCTGTCTGTATTAAACAGTGTAGAGAAGTTTTACATTCAGTTTTAAAGAGTGGAGGGAGATTTGATTTCCTTTTAAAAGGATAGAGGAGCATAACTTTGCATCAACCCCATACTGTACTTGTCCTGGAAGTGTTCGATGGGACAGCGTAGCAGCAGCATTACACTGCACCTAACCCCACGTTCCACCTGTCCAGGCAGAATTTGACGGGGACATACAGGGCAGAGGGAGCATTACTTTCAGTTTAAAAACATAGGGGATGCGATGGCTTAGTGGTAATATTAATCCAGGGACCCAGGCATAATCCTACCATGGCACAGGGTGGAATTTGAGTTCAATAAAAATCTGGAATTAAGAGTCTAATGATGAGCATGAATCCACTGTCAATTATCAGAAAACCCCCATATGGTTCATTAAAATCCCTTATGGAAGGAAACTGCCATTCTTACCTGGCCGGGCCTGCATGTGACCCACAGCAACATGGTTGTCTCTTAACTACCCTCTGGGTATTTAGGGATAGCCAGCAATATCCACATCCTGTGAATGAATTTAAAAAAACTTTGCTCCATATTTAACCCTGTGCTGTCCTTGTCCCGAGAGTGTTTGATGGGGGCAGTAGAGGGAGCTTCACTTTTCAGTTTAAAAGGGTAGAGAAGTTTTTGCTCTTAATTTGAAAAAAAAAAGAGTAGAGGGAACTTATTCTGCAGTACCTGTCCTGGGATTATTCAATGGGGGCAGTATCAAAGAACATTTATTTTCAGTCCAAAACAGTAGAGTGCTTTACTCTGCATTTAACCACATGCTGTCCCTGTCCTTATAGTTTTTGATGGAGATTGTTTTGAGGGACATTTACTTTTTGTTTAAAAAGAAAAAAGAGTACAGGGGGCTTTAATTTCCATTTACTTTTGTTTTTAAAAAAAAGGGTGGAGACAGCTTTACTCTGTACTGAACCCAGTGCCGTCCTTTTTCAGTCTATACATAGCAGTTATCACTCTCCATTTCTTTCTGTTCAACTGTTCAATGGGGACAAAGTTGAGAGGTTTACTTCACGTTGAAAAGAGTGGAAGAAGCTCTAACTTCAGAGTAAAAGAGTAGTGGAGCTTTACGTTCTAATTACTTTTAGCTTAAAAAAAAAGAGTAGATATAGCTTTACCCCAATGTTGTCATAGACCATAGAAGATCATAGAATCCTTACAGCGTGGAAGCAGGCCATTTGGTCCAGAGTCCACACCGACCCTCTGAAGAGCATCCCACCCAGACCCACCCTTTATCCTATTCCTGCATTTCCCACTCTAAACACTATGGGCAATTTAGCATGGCCAAGCCACCTCATCTACACATCTTTGGACTGTGGGAGGAAACCCGCGCAGACTACATGCAAACTCCACACAGACAGTCACCCGAGGCTAGAATTGAGCCCAGGTCCCTGGCGCTGTGAGGCAGCAGTGCTAAACACTGAGCCACCATGCCACCCTGCGAATGTCTGAGACGGATAGCATAGAGGAAGCATTACTCTAAATCTAACCCTGTGCAGTCCCTGTCCTGGGAGCGTATGATGGGACAAATGTAGCGGAAACGTTACTTTCAGATTTAAAGAGCGTGGAAAGCTTTAATTTCTGTTCAAAGAGTAGAGGATGCTTTACTTTTGGTTTAAAGGAGTAAAGAAAGCTTTACTCTTTGTCTAACCCCACACACAGTCCCCGTCCTGAGAGTCTTTGTTGGTGACAGTGCAGAAGGAGGTTTACTTTCAACTTAAAAAGAGCCGGTAGCTTTACTCTGTATCTAATTCCATGCTTTTTCTGTCCTTGGAGCATATGACAGGGACAACACCAAAGGATTTACTTTCAGTTTAAAAGAGCAGAATGAACTTTACTCTGTTGTCAACCCCATACTGTACCTGTTTGGAAGTGTTTAATAGGGACAGTGTTGATACTTTCAGTTTAAAAGATTAGCAGGAGCTTTACTCTGTATCTAACAATGTGTAGTCCCTCTCCTGGGAGTGTAGCCAAAGTATTTTATTAGTCTTGTCAACATTAATTCAGTTCCATAATGTTGAAAAGTCCAGTAATTTTGTAGCTGTTTCCATTATTTGGAGCCTAAACTAAAAACACTAAATGGAAAAACACTCAAGAAGTTCTGAGAAAAATTATTTGTACCTTTAATGAGTTCAGGATACTGTGCCCTTTTTCAGTCTCTACATAGCAGTTATCACTCTCCATTTTTTTTATTTTGACACATCCTTTATGAAAGGTGCTAATGTCCAGGTCTGCAAACAGAAATATGAAGTTTTAAATGAATTTTAAAAAGAAAAATCAGTCAAGTCACAACGTAAAATCAGCTGTTTACATATTTTAAATACACAGTACATTATGCAATTACAGTGCATTTTAAAAGAAATGGGAATATATGCAAAATGGGAATGTTTAGTTGAACAAGCTTCTCTGTAGTACTAATAGAAAAAAAAACCTCTCATCTGGGCCCAGAAGAGCGAAGGGTGAATAGGAATGAGGAAAGATGATAATTTGGAAGAAGATTTACAACTTCCCTGTCATCAACTTTATCATCATCATCTTACCATTAAAAAGGGATATATAGTTCAGAGATGGTTTAACTAGACTGATTCTTGAGTTGAAAAGGTTGTTTTATACAGAAAGATTGAGTCTGTACTCATTATAGTTTAGAAGAATGAAAGGTGGTCTTATTGAAATACAAGATTCTGAGGGAGTTTCTCGAGAGATGCAGGGAAGTGGTTTCATTTCAGGGAATCTGTCTAGAACTGGGGACAATTTCAAAAGGAGGGGACTCTCCTTCAAGACTGATGAGAAGGAATTTCTTCTCTTGAAGGGTCATAAGTCTTTGGAATTCTCTTCCATAGGGAGCAGGGGAGGCAGGCTCATTGAATATATTCAAATCCAAGTTAGATAACTCTTTTATGCATCAAAAAATTTACAGATTATGGGAACAGATAGGAAATTGGGGTTAACACCATAAATTGGTCATAAGCCATAAATGGTATTGTAGGGTCAAAGGGACCAAGTGGTTTACTCCTACTCATATAACTTATGGCCTTACAATTTTAAACTACTTTCATTTGAGAGATAATTTTGCCCAAGTATACCTTGATGGACGTCGTAAGTCAATCAAAACTCTAAAATTCCACAAGCAAATTAAAAGTTGCACAACAACTACTTTTTACCTATCCTTACAAGCCATCCATGTAAGCTATCTTATTTCACACAAACTTCTAAGTAAAGAACATGAATAAACACACAGATTAAAAACAACTAACAAACAAAATTGACAAAAGACTTTTTCCTCCTCCTAACTGCTGTGTCATCTGGGCCTTGTCACAGAGAGCTGTGGGGCAGAGTCCTCGTGAATATTTAAGGCTAAGATAGATTCTTGATCAATCGGGGAATCAAGGGTTATGGGGAAAGAGCAGGAAAACGGACGTGAGGAGTTCCGGATCTGCCATAAATATATTGAATGACGGAGTATGCCTGATGGGCCAAACAGCCTGCTCCTGTTCCTATTTCGTAGTGATCTAGGCCAGATCACATGCTCAAAACTAACTCCAGCAGCTCAAGCACATAAACCCCCGACTCAAAAAAGATGCTGAAACTCTGAAGCAAAAGTCAGTAAAGTGATTCTCACAAATGAGTCTAATGCTAAAACGTTTGTCCCCTGCTGAACTAACAGTGTGTGTATGTTGCACGTGTTCTGCATAAACAACAGTAACTATTTAATTAACTTGGGATCACCTTAGGATGGGTACTGACCGTGCAACATGTAGATTCAAATAACTTTCCATTATTTCCATGGCCTTTTTATATTGGTTCCAAAATATCCATGGTAACTTCCAAAAACCACTAAAAACGACGAAAGGTACACCATTGTTTCAAACACATGGAAACAATTAGCAGATTTACAGAAGAAGCCAAGGAAACACATGCCCTGATCCAAACTATGTTTTTGTGCTCCCGGCATCACAATCTCTTTTGGATTTTAAACTAGTAGGGTTTCCCTGAAAAGACTGGCACCCTTCAAAACAAAAACGGGGTTCAGTTTCACAAAATGCGCTTACCAAACTTTACCGGAGTGACCAAATCGATGCGAGTATCGCCGCTGATGTTTTCAGAAGTCACCACCATCTGTTTCAGAGCCTTGTCGTACTTTACCAGAACATCGTCCACATTCTCCCCTTGGTTTGGAGAAATGAGTTCGACGAAAGCGCGGTCAGCCGACGGGTAGCCGTGCGGGTCCAGCGGCTTCACCGACACATCGCAGGGCAGGCGCACCTTTAAAGAGCCGAAAGGATCCACCAGCAGTGTCCAGCGTTTCAAGGCGCTACCCTTGTACCGGGAGTCCAGGCAGCGGGTGCCCGACACCGACCTCCGAGGCCGCAGACGGACAAAAGACAGGCTGCATTGCCTCGGCAAAAGCGCTGACCAGCCTCGGCGGAAAAACAGAGGCAAGGATGTCATGCTGGAGCCGATACCAGGACAGAATACCGGATCGTCTACCGCTCAGGACAAAACCCCGACAGCAATTTTCTGTTGTTGTAGATAGAGGAGAAGGTGCTGTCGGGAGTTGAAGTCCGCGCACGCTTCTTTAACCGGACGATTGCGAACTACAATTCCCACAATGCAGTACAAACGGCTGCAGCCGGCCAAGCATTGCAGCGAGCAACGAAGAGAAACTGTCTGTCGTAGACATGCGCACAATAAAACAAAGAACTCCGGACGCCAGAGATCTGAAGTAAGAAATCGCTGGCAAAATTCTCAAGAGCTGGTAGCAACCGTGTGGAGAAAGCTGAGTTAACTCTCTGGTGTACAGATGCCGTCAGACCTGCTGAATTTCGCTAACAATTTCTGTTTTTGTCACAGATATGCACCTGTTCAGATACATTAATAACACGGCTCTGGAGCATGTGGGACTTGAACCCGGATCTTCTGATTCAAAAGGAGAAGCATTACCACTGTACCCCAATTGTTAATGTCATTCAAAGAAATTTTTACAAAATACGCGATTTTTCACAAAATGTCTTCTGATGTAGATCTGCCGAAGGGTTCATGCCAAAGGCCAGTCCTGAAGAAGGGTAATTCCCGATATGTTGACTTTTCCTTTCCTCGTTATTCTGCCTAGCTTGCTGTGTTCTAACAGCCTCCTGTTTGCCTACCTTGGTTCATAACTGGGTTCAGCGGATTTCTTTTGTATAACTTGCAGGACAGTTGGTGAGAGATTTAATGCTGCACAAATATAAATAAAGGAAATGCGTTCGTATTATCTAAGTCGTATTAACATTGCATGAGGGAAATGGGTTTATTGTTGGACCTTGAGATAGTAGGAACTGCAGATGCTGGAGAATCTGAGATAACAAGGCGTAGCGCTGGATGAACACAGCAGGTCAGGCAGCATCAGAGGAGCACGAAAGCTGACGTTTCGGGTTTGGACCTTTCGTGCTCCTCTGATGCTGCTTGGCCTGCTGTGTTCATCCGGCTCGACACCTTGTTATCTCTTATTGTTGGACCTTTCCGGGTTTCCGATTTATTTTAGTGGCTTTGCTATTGGTCCAGATGAATCCCTTGCTGCCCAATGGCTGGGTGCGAACGAAGTGTATGTGTGGTTGCTATGGGGATGACGCTTGTTGACCACAAACTGGAAGAGGATCCCGGAGAGTGTCAGCAGCTCCTCAGGTACATCTCAAAGGCGAGGGCTTCAAATCTAGACGGCGCAGAACAGAAAAAAAACTACCAGAAAGGCACCGATTACAGCTTTAATCCACAAACTCTGGTATTGATGTTCTGACCCACACCATCACCAAGTGTGCACCCGCCCCATGTGGACTGATCACCCCTATCCCACTCACGGCCTTGCCTACACTGACCATCCCCTGCCCTATGTGCACTGACTACCCCTCTGCCCTGTGAGCACTGACCTTCTCTCCTGTGTGCACTGACCATCCCTCTGCCCTGTGTGCACTGACTTCCTCTCCTGCCCTGTGTGCACTGACCACCCCTCTGCCCTGTGTGCACTCACCTCCTCTCCTGCCCTGTGTGCACTGACCCCCTCCCCTGTCCTGTGTGCACTGACCTCCTCCCCTGCCCTGTGTGCACTGACCACCTCCGCACTCTGTGCACTGACCACCCCCCACCCTGTATGCACTGACCTCTTCCCCTGCCCTGTGTGCACTGATCAGCCCCCTGCCCCGTGTGCACTGACCTCCTCCCCTGCCCTGTGTGCACTGACCACCCCTGCCCTTGCCATGTCTGCATCAACCCCCACTATGTATTCTGACCACACCTACCCCCCTCACAGCCCAGTCTATATTGACACCCCTCCCCTGCCCTGTGTGTACTGATCTCCCCCTGCCCTGTCTGCACTGACCTCTCCCCTGCCCTGTATGCACTGACTTCTTCCCTGCCCTGTGTGCCTGACCACAGTACCCCGGCACATTGAACCCCCTTCCTATCCCGACCCTTTGCTCACTCACCTCCTTTATGGAGTCAAGAGGTGAATTACTCAATGCAGAGTTCTAATACAACATACAACATTACAGCGCAGTACAGGCCCTTCGGCCCTCGATGTTGCGCCGACCTGTGAAACCAATCTGAAGCCCATCTAACCTACACTATTCCATTATCATCCATATGTTTATCCAATGACCATTTAAATGCCCGTAAAGTTGGTGAGTCTACTACTTTTGCAGGCAGGGCATTCCACACCCTTACTACTCTCTGAGTAAAGAACCTACCTCTGACATCTGTCCTATATCTATCACCCATCAATTTAAAGCTATGTCCCCTCGTGCTAGCCATCACCATCTGAGGAAAAAGGCTCCCACTGTCCACCTTATCTAATCCTCTGATCATCTTGTATGTCTCCATTAAGTCACCCCTTAATCTTCTTCTCTCTAACGAAAACAGCACAGAAACAGAAGTTGCTGGAAAAGCTGAGTTGGTCTGACAGCGTCTGTGAAGAAAAATCAGAGTTAACATTTTGGGTCTGGTGACCCTTCTTCAGAACAGACCCAAAATGTTAACTGTGACTTTTCTTCATAGATGCTGCCAGAACTGCTGGGCTTTTCCAGTAACTTCTGTGTTTTTTTCCTGATTTACAGCATCCGCAGTTCTTTCAGTTTTTTTTTGCAGAGTTCTAAGCCTCTTGTAGCCACAGTACTAACATAGCTAGCCTTGTTCAATTTCCAGTCAATAGTGATCTCCAAGATGTTGTTTGTGGTTTTCAGTGATGCTAATGCTATTAAATGTCAAGGGCGGATGGTTTAGAGATGTGATACTGGGCAAAAATATAACTTGCCTCTTATCAGCCCAAAACTGGATGTTGCTCATGTTTTGCTGCTTTTGTACATGGACATATTCAGTAGCTGAAGAATTGCGAATGTTGTTGAACATTATGCAATTGTCAACAAACATCTCCAGCTGAACTTGACTGAGGCAAGAGCACTACCTTAGGGAACTCCTGCAGTGATGTCACGTGGTTGAGATGATTGACCTTCAAGAACCACAGCTATCTTCCTTTGTGCTATAATATGACTTCAACCAATGTAGATTCAACCCCCTAGTTCCTATTGACTCTAGTTTGCTAGGGCTTAGTGATGCATAATCAGTCAAATGCTGCATTGATGTTGACAGTCTCAACTCACCTCTGGAGTTCTGTTGTTTTGCCCATGTTTGGACCAAGGCTGTAATGATTCAGGAGTTGAGTCAACCATAGTTCACAGTAGGAGCTGGCAGGACTGCACAATTTAGATCTAATCTATTGGTTGTAGGTTTTCTTTGTTTTGTCTATTGAAAACAGCTTCCACGAAGTGGTCCTGTAATTATGATTTTTAAGTGGTCTGCAAGTGAATTGAAGAGGTGTCGTGATGGTCATGAAGAGTTGGGAAATGTCAGATGCCAATATCCATTGACAAGGAAGCGCATGAATCTAGGGCTCATGGATCAAAAAATGTGGAGCTGGTAAAGCACAGCAGGTTAGACAGCATCCAAGGAGCAGGAGAGTCAACGTTTCGGGACGAAACCCTTTGTCAGGCATGAAACATTGACTCTCCTGCTCCTCGGATGCTGTCTGATCTGCTATACTTTCCAGCTCCAGGTTTATTGACTCTAGCTTCCAGCATCTGCAGTCCTTACTGTCTCCTAGTGCCCATGGATCATGTCCCGAGGTGTTGTTTACTGCTGAGCAACACAGAGGCTCCTTACAGCCAGTGGTGAGCTGAAGTCATCAGGTACCCATTCCAACCAATGTCAAGGTTTCTTGATGCATAGCTTGTTGGTCACGTATGGGTAAAGTAGGAAGCTGAATGTTAATGAGGTTTGTTAGGCCATTAATAAGGTGTTTAACAAGCTGCAATCCCCCTTAACTGGCAACTTGCCATTTCCTAGCAAGAAATTCGCCTCACCACTTGTAAAAAGCATAAAAGATGCTGCGAGATGCTCCTGATGCTGATTGCTGGACTTCTCATCCACTTTGGCAATAAATTTTTGCCATTGGCCAGACCTCTATAACATTCTGCCCTTAATGTTCTTTTTTTTGTATCCATTTTACCTCACTGTTGCCTGCACAGTGATGGTTATCCTTCAATTTAATAGATGGTCGGGTACTCAGGTCTTTTCTTGTAGAACTGATTTCTTTTAAGTTTTGTGGAATGTTCTGTCTTTTCCTTTCATGAAGAAAGAGAGAAGTGAGGGAGAGAGGATGCAGTATGTTCTCACTCTCTGCTGCTCTTGGCACATAGAGCTTTAGCTTAACCAGACTACTGTTGCCAGGCAGAACTTTAAGTCAAAAACTTTTGGTGCCTCTCAACAGCCCCTTCTTTTTGATTCCAGAAAGAAACTTGTATGGCACAGCTCATTGTGCAACACTTGTTTACGTTGCAAAACTTTTCTGTTTTATTTTGTTAAAGTAGTCCAACTTCCGTCTGAGTTTCTGGTCCTAGAAAACAAGAAAAGGTGGTCTCTTACAACTGATCCTTGTGGATATTAGGCCAGTGTCAGGTGCACAGTAATGGATCACTTGCACTTTCACTGTCACAATGTGAAGGAACGTTCTCTCCCAGAGGATCTGAATGTCTATGATTCTCGAGAGAGTTGTGGAGAATAGATCAGTGAAAGTATTTAATGAGGTGGTAGAGAGATTTTAGAAATATCAGGGAGTTGAGGACTATGATGAGCTGTCATGGAAGAGGAGATGTGGCCTGGGGCAGATCAGCCATAACCTTGTTGAATGATGGAGCAGTCTTAAGGGGTCAAATAGCCTACTCCTGCTCCATTCTCTTACATTCTCATGGTCTTGTAGTGATATGATTATCTAATAATAAAAATCTTCAAAAACTACTTTGATGAAAATTAGTCAATGTCACAATTTTCAATACCTAAAATGTTATTTAAATTTGAAGAACGTTACACAATAATTCGCAATTTGACTTATTTGGTAAGTGTGTCAGTGACACTTTCATTACACTGCTTTATGAATCACAATACCGTGTTGTAAAAAAGTTGCTATGACTCAATGTTGTTAAGTCAGCGAAAATAGAGTAAAAGTACAATGAAGTCTGAAAGCTGGTCCGTAGCTCCAAACTCACTGTGTAAAGTGTTTACTGGATTACGAGAGGGCCAGAATGAAAAGGTATGAAAGCTGGTGATTCAAAGAGAGACTACCTCAAGATCTAAAACAAATCATGTTCAATTTTATTCAGTTCTGATCTGGACTTCTGTGCTACCAGGTGTTTACTTCTGATAATACTGCCCAATTATCACTCATCAAATACAATCCAATTTTGTCCTCAATACTGCCAAAACCTTCTGCTCCTTAACAAATGTAAAATCTTGGGTTCATGTATTGCTGTCAAATGCTGCCCACAATTCACATGAATCCATCAGCCCCAATCCTCTTGAATCTTTCAATCTGTTTCCCCAATTTACCAGTCTTCCTACTCCTATATGTTATGAGCTGCTTCTCTGAGATACAAGCATCAGATACTTTGATTCCCAATACTTGCAGATGGTAAGACCATTTCTGTTACTCCTGAATCCCAAACATTAACCCACCATTAAGCCTTCAGGCTACCAGGCTTCC